CGCCAGTGTCGCATGTGGGGGATCTCAGGGTAACCACGGAGCTCGAATCTTGCAGGCGGGTTTCTGATAAACAGCAAATATCGATCGATAGGGTCTCTAGTGTGCGGGCAAGTGCTGCCTGTTGGCCAATCTGCAGCAAAGTACGCACGTTGAAGCATGCCAATCTTAGCGAGACGCGAGGACTCCAAATGGAAACGGATGAACTGACGTTGTCCGCTTGCTTGAACATGAACTTGTCAACTGGATTGGAGCGAGGCCCTGGGATTGTGTGATTTGAAATTAGAAGACAAGAGAGCTGGGGGAGGGCCAAGAATTGGGGGATTGAAAATGGGGGGATATAAGTAAAGTTGGAGCGGGACGATAAGGATGAAGAAGCGCAAGAAGGGGTATAAGAAGACGGGAAGGCCTGAGCAGTAGCATCCATAACCCTATCCACCCTGCTCGATGCAGCAGATAGGGCGCCGTTGATTATCCTCTGCGACGGCCAGAGCATCAAGAAATTGTTGTAGGAAAGTTTCATTGTATTGCGTGGGCAGAATACTGTCAGGTTGCCCAGGCATAGACAGGAAAACGATTAGGGTTCGCAACCAAAGCCTTTGGTTCAAAAACCTTACCGCAAGGCAGCGGGTTTTGGCACTGGACTGAGGAGCCCGTTTTATGAAATGAGGAGCCACCCCCATTCCAACCCCCAACCTGGAGGACCAGGAGGCTGAGTTTGTCTGGCCTCTAACCATTGACCAATCTGGTATGAGTGGCTCTGAAGGCGCAAAAGCACCACCCAGCATAGCTCAATGGATCTCTGAGGCACGCAAACCATCGCACCACGGTAAGGTCCAGCCTCATTGCGATACGGATTCAGAACACCTGGCTTCGCCAGTCAACGGCGACCGCCGAAACGTACCCGCAGATGAGCATACTCAGCCCTTCCCGGTGAATTTTGTCGAGCACACATGAAATCTATTACGTGGCAACGTACAAAACTATGTACGATTTCCTTCTGCTAATTCTCATATTTTAACATTCTTCACTCATTGCCAGTGAAGGATCGGAAGCATCAAAATCTATGGCAAGGGTACTGGAGCAATGAAAGATCTCGTAGATGAAATAGATAAACAAACAGCATCCGTCGAGAAAAAGCACTGGAAATGGAAGTGGAGTGAAAATCGTTGACCGACAGTACCAGCTTCATAAATCCATCAGTTTACGGCTTAGTTAAGAAGACTTTACAGATGGATGAGTTACAGAGAATTTATTACTCGGCGTCCAGCTATACACAAAAATATCGAATCGTCCTTGCCAGAGGAGCTATAGGATACAGATGCTATAATTTTTCTCGGATACCTGATTGACCATTTAATAAGAACGTATACTGATCGGAACAGTGGAAGGATAGATGTGCAATCGAGTAGGAAAAGAAACAAGGATTACCAATACTATGTACGATGTATGTAGCATTATTCATGGTTTATGATTATAACACCGTTCTAAAAGGTCGCTTGAAAACTGGGTCGAGTAAAAGGAGAGAACTCCGGACAGCGTGAGGAGAGGTGGGCTGATTATTAGCCTCAAGCCCTTTTCAATATCGTCCAGTATAAGGAAAACGCATACGGCACCTTCAGCTTAGCGAAACGTTATTACTTTCAGAAAAGTGGCGACGTAGCTTAATCATCATCACAACAGGTTAGCTTAAGGTGAGAAACACCCTTTAGCCAATGTGCCGCAATACAAAAAGATAAGGCATATAGAGAGAAACACGGTATACAAAACAGGACAGAATACCGTTTACGGTCATTTTGAAGTACACGTTGTGTGGATGGATTGCCACGCGAAATCTCAATGTTGACCGTGATTCCCAGTGAAGTGAATCTTGGTCTTTCGATCACGAGGACCGTAACTGATGCAAATAGAAAGTAAGTGTTAACCGTCCGAAAACACTGCACTTCTATGACCAAGGTTCACATCAGTGGGAATCGCGGCCAACATTATGACTGCGCGTCGCAATCCATCCACACAACGTGCACTTCAAAATGACCCTAAACATCGTTCATCAGACCGTTGTGCCAAGTGTTGCCCGTCGTGACCCGGTGGCTTAGGGGTAGCGGTCACAATTAACATCCCGATAGTTCCGGGTTCGATGCCTGCCAACTCTATCTGATGAGATGTAATAACATCGAAACGCCTCATACTAGTGCAGTGTTTTTAGAGCGGGCAACACCCAATTTCTATTTGCATCAGCTACGGTCCTCGTGATCGAAAGAGCAAGGTTCACTTCAATGGGAATCGCGGTCAACATTGAGATTGCGCGTCGCAATCCATCCACACAACGTGCACTTCAAAATGACCCTAAACATCGTTCATCAGACCGTTGTGCCAAGTGTTGCCCGTCGTGACCCGGTGGCTTAGGAGTAGCGGTCACAATGAACATCCCGATAGTTCCGGGTTCGATGCCTGCCAACTCTATCTGATGAGATGTAATAACATCGAAACGCCTCATATTAGTGCAGTGTTTTGGAGCGGGTAACACCCAATTTCTATTTGCATCAGCTACGGTCCTCGTGATCGAAAGAGCAAGGTTCACTTCAATGGGAATCGCGGTCTACCTTGAGATTGCGCGTCGCAATCCATCCACACAACGTGTACTTCAAATGACCCTAAACATCGTTCATTAGATCGTTGTGCCAAGTGTTCCCCGTCGTGACCCGGTGGCTTAGGGGTAGCAGTCACAACTAACATCCCAATGGTCCCGGGTTCGAAGCCTGCTACCTCTATCGGATGAGATGTAATAACATCGAGATGCCTCAAAGTAGTCCAGTGTTTTCGGGCAGGTAACAGCCAATTTCTATTTGCAGTACAAAATACAGTGTAAAACCAAAATGTGATACGATGCTTAGCGTCAAGTTAGGCATCACGTGCGAGAACATGGTTGAAGGGTGAGGAATAAAGAGACTCATAAAACAAACGCCATTGGGGCCGGTTCCTCGTTATGTCAATTAGTGTATCTAACCAAAAGTGCTCATCGTCCTTCGGACCCCAGCCCGAAAGTCGGGAAGCCACCAACCGACGCCAAGTCATTGCTTGGTCTTCCCTCCCGAGGAAGCTGTACAATGTTTTATATACCATCCGCAAGAAAAATTCATAATGGCTAAGAATGTACGGTAAGGTTTCTGGAAATATGAATATTAATCGTCAGAATGATCGCTGAGCGAAGTTCAGTTAATTGACTTTCTTTTCTCTATGCAGAGATTGCAAAGTAGAAGCTAGCAAAGCTGCGAAAATGGTCCTCGCTGCCTTGCGGTTAGGTAACTGAGCCAGAGACTATAGTTTAGAATTTAAAACACCTCTATGTAGGCCCAGCAAACAGATAGGCAAGACAATCACATCAAAACTCCTTCCGCATCCTGCAGTGGCTACCGACCAACATCAATTGGATCGCCATAAGAAGAATCAGAAAGGGGGGTAAACCAAGACCCGTTACTACCGAGGTCCCAATTCGTTCGTGTACCCATGCTGTTGCTGTACTCCATAACGTTCCCATTTCAAGCCTTCCTCTCATGATATTGAAGCTAAGGAGTAAGAAACAAACTATTACTGACGTTAGTTGCAGTTAGTATCATTATAATAATTATTAATTAACTAAAGTTTATAGGCATCAGAAAAATGCGTGGAAACAGGCCGCTCGGTTTTATTGCTACGTGTAACATATTATAAGCAACATATAAAGGACAGAGCTGAATGTGCACAAACTGCGCACTCCAAGAAATGACGTGCTGTGTATGCAAGATTAGATATTACACCTCCCTCGTGGCTATTGACCTGACTGCGTCTCAGTTGCTTTTCAAGTTCGTTTGAGCTGGTCAAGGAGTAAGTGTAGCGACCGCAAATAAAGCTTGAGGGCATGGTAGTCGATTCCGAAGACGATTACATAGAACAGTCGATATGGTGCTCCGCTTGACAACGACGATGAGGGTGATCATCACATAGAGCAGCGCTAAAATACCCGCGTGCTTAGCTGATGCATGTGATCTACAGACAGTAATCCTGGTGATAGCAAGGTGAAACGGAAGCAGTTACAGTGCGCCACCAGACTATATGGGGTTTGAAACAAAAAGACAAGCATGCATGGAAGTATTCCAAGTAGCTACTCATAAACCAACAATTTGCAAGCTCAATTCGGTGAGCATGGGCAGCAGTGAGCGACTGATGAAGCAGGGTTGTAGGGGCATTAGGCATAACAGTTGTATGGCAATTACTGTCCACACGAAGATTAATCACTGAGAAAATAAAGATGGTCACAAAGTGAGACCAGCTTTATAAGCGAGTGGTTGTCTTTACTCTCATATTGCTTACGTGGTGCAGCCACCGCACACGGGCAATGGACCGCAAACAACGGTGCTCGAAGATGGGCACTCGGAGCAGGCCGACGGTACAAAAAGACTAGGTCGTGTAATCGTACAAGAGTACAGAGCAGACAGTCGTACAAAAAACCGGTATTGTGATAGAGAGACGGATATCATGGTGGCGTCACAAATGCCTGTCTAGAAAAAGCGGGAGGAGTTCTTGAGATGCGCTACAAAATCTCATCTCCAACAGCCGCTTCCCAGCAGTGACGCAACAGAGATGTTTGTGACATCTAGCAAAGGTGTTAGGATGATATCCCATTTGCACTGGAACCAGTTTCGTATGTTCTGCTATAGAGAAGAGAAAAAATCCTAACCTACGGCGGCTCAATAGGATGTGGAAGTACGCACGATCGCACAGCGCCACGGTATAAGGCAATAAGTGGGAGGTATTCGCCGACTATAAGACCAGCGCATTCAAAATTCGATTATAAGCAGAAATAGTATCCAGTGGAATTTGTTGATCAAGTAACACCATTTGCAGTGACACTCATAAGAGCTGTGTGTTGAAGGAAACAACAATATATATGGAATCGGTAGTAGAAAAACGGTTTGATTACTAATCGTTTGCAAACACAAAATGAAAGTTCCCGAGAGACTCACAATGTTAAACGTGACGTGCAGATTTGTGTTGGGCAAACGAGCTTGGCGGAAACGCCGGGTCTGATGAGACTTTTCTTCCGACCAAAGGCGCTGAAGTGAGCAGTTAATCTGGAATGGAAATCGGTCATGACATACACTATAAATACAACTCCAATCAGAAGCAAGAGCGGAAAGTTGTAATCGGCAAAGCTATTTAACTTGAACCAAAAGATGAAAGGAGAGACGTAAGACAGACTAATAAAAACCGTGTAGAAAAGAAAGCTGTTTAAATGCAAACGATAATATGTTTATCACATTGGACCAAAAACAGCGCGAGTTGGACGTACAAAATCAGGATCGCACCAGGTATAAGTGCCTTGTAAAAATCCGTCACCAGAAACGAGGGAAGAATCATATTCAGAAGTCTCAGAGATTCCAGCGGTATCGACAACAGAAATCGGTAACACCGATGCACGCTTCCCAAGAGCGGCAACAATCGCGTTTGGAGTGCAGGAAGAGGTTAGCATGGACATTCGCCCGTCCGGATAAAATCGAATACCTCGATAGTAGACGACCAGGTGCATGGGACGGTAGCTGGCACCGAGTGCTGCTTCTCCAGGACGCACGTAAGAAATCCGACACAAATAGCAGCCTGAAACATGCATGCAAATGGTGTCAGTTTCAAAAGATCGTTGATAAGTGCAACAGTGAAAGAATTTTGGAGTATTTTAATCTCCAACATTATGTCATGAGTCGATGAGCCCCTATAAAAGTAGCTGGTGGGATCCGATAGCGGAGTTGCCGACCACTGTATTTCGAGACAGCCCAAAGACTTCTTAGTAAACAAAGTCAGTTGGTTCCATTGTAGAAGCTAGAGCTACACCCACGAACTCCGTTCATACTGTAAACCCGAGACCGGAATGTGGTAGGATGGAAAGAACGAATGATTAGAAGGCAGCATAAATCAACTCAGCACATCAAGATCATCAACACATATTAGCTCAGGGTGAGAAACACACTTCGGCTAATGTGTAGCAATATGAAAAGATACGATATATGAAGAAAAAGAAGGTACAAAACAATAAAGAATATAATATAAAACCACAAACGCAATATGATGATTAGTGACATATTAAGCATTACGTGTGAGAAGGTGGTTAGAGAAGGAAGATACGAGGGAGAGTGAAGGACAATAAAACTCACAACGCAAACGCCATTGAGGTCGCATCCTCGCCATGTCAACAAGGGTATCCAACAGAACGTGTTCATCGTCGTTCGAACTCCAGCTGGGTAGTCAGGATGTAATCTACGACAAGTTCCAAGTGAGGGTATCAATTCTTCTTGACCAAATCATCGCTTGGCTTCCCCTCCTTTTCTTCTATCCACAACTACGGCGCGCAAACAACGCACTTCGCGGGAGTCGGTGTGCCGGCATGCGCAACACGCGATCCAACTACCGGTGCTGTGCGGTTCACGCACTCTTCCTGCACCAAATACCAGATGCCGAACACGCTCATTGACCACGCGGTGTTGCCATCAGACATGAGCTAAACTAAGAAGACCGATCATCGAACCTAATTATCCTCTTTATGACTGTCGATCTAATGGGCGATTACACAACTGTACACGAGGCTCGAACACACGGCTGTATTGTAAACCACCCTGCAGAGCAACAGTGATGTCGCGCCTACGCCACAAGTGACGGTACCTACAGTTTGTGCTATACGTCTGGCGACTACATCTTCGATAGCACGGGCGCTAATATAGCTGCCGAGATACTTCAATTTCTCAACGACCACCAAGGGTCAGCTCAGGGGTTGGTCCCTGCTAATCTTGGAGAAGGACTCCTCATTTCGATGGTGTAAAGCATCGCCCAAAACGACTGACAGACAGTTAATGTGTCCAGTGCTACTTGGCACGCCCAGGAGATGTTGAAGGTGAGGACAATGTCGTCGTCGTAATCCAAACCAAGAATTCTGTCACCCAGAAGTGGTTCCGTACCTGGCAAATCGTGAACAGTTACCGTGACTTCATGAACGGTGAGATCAAAGAGGAAAGGTGACAGCGGGCAACCTCATCTGCCACTGCTGGAAATATTGAAGGACTACAGTTTGCCATAAACCGTCACTCTGCTCGTACAGCGTACAGCGCGTTTATGAAATTCAAACATTTGACGGCACACCATCTTGCTTGGGTATACAGAGTTAAAGGGCGCATTGATCTACCCAATCGAAGGCACATTTGATTTCAAGGAACACAAACATAGTGGGACGCAATTAAATATGTCAGTGAGCAAGCTAGTGAAGTAAAGTGTAGCCACGATTTCGACGAAACGCGGCCTGCTCCTCGCGCATCGGGCTTTCACGTCTACTAGTCAGTTTATGCAGAATGACACAGCGAGAAGCTTAAAGGCAATTGAAATAAGACTGATTTATCTGCAATTTCTGCATTTCAAACGGTAGGCTCCCTTGAAAATTTGAACTCTAACGGAGCGGCTCCAGTCGGCTAGGACCGTCTCCTGCTTCTATAGATTCAGTAGTACATTATGCATATCGTGCACAAGAGCACGTTCCACAAATCTGAAGAAGGATGGATTAAGATAATCTGCTCCTGAGGGCTTGTACTATTTCAACCGCCTAATCTCACATCGACTTCTGCGCGTGAGGGCGTATCCAAGACGTCGGCTCAGGGAAAAGGGCTATCAATGGCCGATAGAGCACCTGGCAACTCTGGTTGACTAAACTGATTTCCAATGTTCGGCTCAACGCTCCAAGCGCTTGGACCAACTGCGGATCGGAGGTTCAATCTTGTCGCGCATGGTCTCCCTAACACCAGGTCTCCTGCTGCTCGTTGCCCGTATCGGAAGGAATCACTTACGGTGCTTAGCAAGGGCAGTGGCTAGTTCCACTCTACGACACATTGGGACGAACAGGATTTGCGGTCTGTCTTCAGGTTAACATGCAGTTTTGCCATGAAGTTTATATGAGTCTCATTGGGTTCGCTCTCAGAATTCATGGAGACCAAATGTCCAGGTTGACAACTTGATTTGCCACATGAAGACATGCCTGCTGTTAATAACGTCTGGCGAATGTACGAAAGGTGATCTTCAACAGTATTCATCATCATCATACACGTTACCTAGAGGTGTAAAACACCTCAGCTTATGTGTCAAAATATATTAAGGAGAAAAAGGAAACAAATGCAACAGTTGCATGACAGCGGAGCTACCAGTAACGGATAGGCATCGTTCCGAAAAGATATCAGAAGGCTACAAAGGCAATAAAAAATTATTATGTACAATAAATTATGCTAGGAAATGACATCGGGATAAGAAGGGGAATAAAAAGGATGGGAACAGAAACACACAACACAAATCCATTGAGGTCAGCTCCAATCAAAGTCAACAAGTGTATCTAGCCAAACATGCTCATCGTTTTTTGGACCCCCAACAAGGGAGCCGTGACGCTCCAACCGAGGCCAGATCCGAAGTGAGGGTCTTCATTCCTCGACCAAGTCATCGCTTGGCCACCTCTTCTCTTTTTCCATACCCACCTCCGGCGAGCAAACAACGCACGTCGCAATAATCGGTGGGCTGGCATACGTAACACGTGGCCGAGCCATCGGAGAATGGGGCGTAAAATATGGTGCTGAGCAGTTCACTTCCTCCTGCGCTATAAACAAGGTGTCGAACACGCTCACCGCTCACACGGTGTACCCACCGGATATGAGCCAAAGTACGAAGACATCGGTAGTCGAACCTAACTACCTAATTTTTGTCTGCTGATCTAAAGGTCCAGGTTTCACAACCGTAAAGTACGATCGAATGTACGGCTACATGGTACACACTACCCTTCTAAGAGAGAGTGATGTGCCGGCGCAATAGGTGGCGAAGATCATCAAAATCGCCTCGTGCTCTTGCGACAGATTCTGTGAGATCGTCTTCAATTCCAACGGCGCTGATACAACTACCTAGGTGGTTGAATTTCTGTACGACTTCTAGCTGATCTCCATTAATGGTCAGCGCGGGAGGCAATACCTGCCAGTCTTGGAGGAAGGCTTAGCACTATGATCATGTAAGGCATAACCAGAAACGGTTGATAACCAGTGCTAATCTGTCCAGTGCGGCTTAGCACGTCTGGCAACTATCACAGATGAGGGCAATGTCGTCTGCATACTCGAAGTCAAGAAGTCTTTCAGCTGGAAGCAGCTCCACACCTTCTAAGTCGTGTCCTGTAAATGTTATCTCCATGAATTGCCAATAGCAAAGTTGAACAGGAAAGGTGACAGCGGACATTCTTGTCTTACACTGCTGGAGATATTGAAGGCCGGCGACAGTCTGCCATAAACCCTCACTCTGTCCGTGCTATGCGCGTAAAGCGCTCGCATAATATTTACATACTTCTCGGGCACACCATTCCTTAGCAGACAGTTCCCAAAGGTACATTGATGCCCCGAAGCAAAGGCACTCTCGATCTCGACGAACACGACAACGATGGGCCGACAATATATGTGATGGTGCTCCAACAACTAACGTAATGCGAATATGTGGCCGACACATCCGCGACCACGACAAAACCCGGCTAGCTTCTCACGAATCTGACTTTCACGAGCGTCAATAGTCTGCGAAGAATAACAGAGGCAAATAATTCGAAGGCGTTTGGGATCAGACTGATTCCTCTATGGTTGCCGCATTATGAACGCGAACCTCCTAGGAAGATGAAACAATAACGGAGCGGCTCCAGTCGGTCGGGACAGTTTCCTGTTCTACAGTTTCCCTAGCATATCGTGAAAATCAGCAACAAGAGCAGGGTCCTTAATAGAGAGGTAAGCGGAGCCAATGTCCAGATACGTCGCGCACAGGCTTACCGAGGAGCACGTGAGCTGTCTGCTGCATGCGAAGGTCCCCAGCACGAGCGTGGAACGACCTACGACTGCTTTGCGAAATTCGGGAATCAGGTGCAAACTGATTGGCCAGCAAATACAAGCCCGAGTCAACGGAGGCGAACCATTCTGCCAAATATGAAAAATCCGTGGGACGACTAACTCACATTGGCTGAGAGCCAAACGCTTTCAAAATTAGTATGTTTCGTTCACCAATAAATAGAACTGACTTATCGTGCAGAAGAGACTCCCTGTTTACCTTGGACTTCTGTATTCCGTCGGTTGGTTGGGCGCGCGACTAAGCAACCAGGCGGTCGTAGTCTCGCGGGCGCAGAGTAATAGCAGTGCAGCAATACGAAGGCAGCTTTACATGAGTAGCGATAGGAGTCAGAAGAAACCAAAGATGTCAGTCAGTTTTGAACAATTACAGACTCTGTTGCCGCAACAGCAGGCGCAGTTTGAGAAAGCACAGGTCAAGTTGATCGAAACTGACCAAGAATTTGTCAGTACAAGCAGGCTCGGTAACAGGAACAAGTGAACGTTGCACCTCAGCAGAAATCTTGACCCAGCAAGTCTGTAAGTTCCGTTACGATGCCGATGCCGGTATTATTTTTGAATCGTGGTTCCATAAATACGAAGACCTGTTTCGCGTTGATTTAGCCGGTGCTTCAGAGGACAAGAGAGTACGCCTCATGCTGCGGAAATTGGGTGCGGCCGAGCACGAAAAGTTTATGAATTTCATCTTGCCGAAAAAGAGCATTGATTTAACAT